AGCACTCATCATATTTTCCCCATATATAAATGAAATGAATTTGAAATGGCACCGAATTAACCTCAAGGTCAAAGATGACTCCTATTGCGACCCGAGGTCAAAAGTGTCGTCACCGAGGCAGAACCAGTCTGATTTGTTATTCAAACAGCAGGTTCGTGCAAGTGAAAAATTCAATTTGTTGCTTTTGACTCCACATGATAATATGAGTTGAATCATAAAACACTAATGAAGTTGAACTAATGGATGTGGATAAACACTGGCTTACCCCAATTTTAGTTCATGACCTTTCGCACTAATAGCCTACTTGTACGGTCCTTGATCAATTGCGATCATACAAGTGGTAGAAACGAAGTATTGTGTGCGAGTTTAATTTTTTTTTTCAACTTCCACTGGTAATATTAAATATAAATAGTACCGGTATATAACAAAATACAATAACAAAAGAGCAAACCAGTAAGAAAAAAACCAAAACTGGTGAACAAGCATATCTACATAGCTGTTCCTATCGCCGGAGCTACAGTAAATCTAATTCAAACACATAGGCCTATATAATTTATACAACATAATATTTATCATGATTTGCATATTTAACTTGATTATTTTCAGTAATGAACGATAATGACAATCGCATCAATTTAAATATCTGGAAGAAAGTTGGAAGTCCATTGTAAAAATCAAGAAAATCAAGCAACTAACGGTTAGGCACAATTCGCTTAAAATAAAAAGATGATTGAGATTTGGAAACATAAATGAATCGGATAGTCTTGTGGAAGGTCGGCCCCGAGATCTATTACAATTAACATAGTCATATTTATTTATATTTTATTTATTTATTTGGATTTATAAAGCGCTTTTCCCAGAGAGCAAAAAAAAAACAGCTGGACAAAAATAGATATAATTTATTTATTATACAATTCAAAGCACATTAAGAATAAAAAAAAATTACACATTCGAAATATCACAAAAGTAGGCCTATACAAAAAAAAAATACAATTCAAGATATATTTTTTTCCAAACTCACTCGTATCGCGAATCGTTTTGTTTGGGACGAAAAAGGTACCATATAAAATGTTTTTGATACTTTATGTTTTGTTATCGTGTAATTCACGGTACTTTTTCTGATCTTTCCAATATTCGCTATGCTTACAGACTACAGTGTTGACGTAATGTTTAACCATGGAAATTCATGTTCATGTTTTACAACCATAAACCCGAGGAACGAGTCATTGATTCCATTTCTACTGGTACCCCTCAGTCTTGACTTGAAAAGACTTAAAAATTCAGTCTTTTCATAAATCAAAATTTCCGATTTTTTCCCCTTTCCATTTAGCATTGAAAGAACGTACACTTTTGTAAGGCTATATAAATGCACAGAGAGAAATAAAAAGAATAGAGAAATACCTCATTATCAAAGATTGATTTCGAGAACCATGACCCCTTCCAGGATCTACGGTAAATATTGAGATTTAACGGCAAAAGGTCGTTAAAATGTCAAAAAGTGCAGTAGTTTGGCCACAGTCATTGCATATCGTGACATTTACTGGAAACCCCACGCCGAGGCTAATTTGGATAAACAACTGTATTTTTTCATTACTCGTGAGGACAATGCTCGAATAGTTATGGTAATAATATTAGTTTCCTTATGTTATGAACAACACCATTGCGTTTTTTTTTTCATATTTTATTGTTGAATATACTATTTTGTTTAGTTAGGCCTATTATATAATCTTGCCACGCAATGAAGAATTGGAAGAATGCACAGGGTAAGGCCTTCCAGTTGGGCTTTGCTGATTAGATGGGGGTTTGGGTCTGGGCGTTCCCCTTTTTATGTTGGGCAAGGTTAGAAAGTTTATCTAGGCCTACGTTTCTCAATTGGTACTGGTAAAGATTGTCATGCTGCAAAATAGAACATCCTCCCGGAAAGTATACATGATCATTATTGATTTTATTCCGGTGGAGAGTTACACGTTGAGGACCATTCGACCTGCCTCACCACATAAATGAACATTCCTCAAAACGCCGGGAAGAATGTTCGTCCAGAACACACCGAACGAATGCTTTAGCTCATGCCTATTTCATGACTTCATCGTTCTGTCTAAAATAAACCTAAATGTTGGGGTCATAGCGAAGTAGGTAGGCCTATGTGCATCTCTCGACCAACTAGCAATGATATCAAAAGCTTATACGTAGTAAGAATTTAAGAGGCCTATTTGTACTTTCACAACTCAGTGTTTATATGAACTTTAAGTTGTTTGATTCTATTACTTAAACAGTAATCTCTGAGTTAATCATAACTATATTAAAGACGACTATTATGTAACCATAGTAACGACTTGATGTTGTATATATATCTCCCGCCTGTCCAGTAAACTTGATGAACAATAAACCCTTATTTTTCTCACTAATACCTGAATGGCATTCAACAGAGCTTTCGTTCTATATAGTTCACACTGGTTTATCCTAAATGGAGCATTTTATTGATCGTCCACCACATGCTGAGGAGTTTTGAAATACGATATAATACCTCCCTAGCATTGACTCAATTCTTTAAATGCAAATTGGACAGTGGTATTAAGAAATATTATCTCTAACTACACTTGAGTGTTAAACACATTCTTTTTAGACCTGAATTAACACTTGAAAGTCTCTTTGAAAATTAGACGTTTCTACTAAACGTCGATCTATTCACTTATATTTCTATGAGAACTTTCCAAATTTATATTATTGTATTTTTTTTTTAAATATGAGTCATGATGCGTAGGCATAATAGATAGTTATTGAATTACGCAGTGGGTCAAAGGTGAAAGGGATCGACCACCGGATCACACAATGTGAAACTAAAAACCTCAAGTTCACATCGGTACACTACTCTCTATTTCCCTTCAAGAACATGCGGAAAGCAATCCAAATTTTATGAATCCTCATTACTTAGGGTGGTCGAAAATGATTGTCATAATTAGGGAAAGGAAATAATTAAATCGAGCAATATTATATAATCGAGATCAAGAAATTCATGGTAGGACCCTGTTTTCATCCGGGAACACAAGTGTTTCGGGAACACAAGTGTTTCTGGAAGTGTTTCTTATTTCTGTATGATTGAATTCACCACTGATCCAGAACCATCGAAACTACCGGTACTAATTTCAAAACCTAGTAGTAGTATTTTTCTCGATATAATTCCCACGGGTGGCCTTGAATTTTATATCGCAGTACAGTATAATAAATAGGACTGGTTGAATTTTTATCATAACATCACGCCACGCAAAGTTTTGTCACGTGACGTTTTATATATCACGTACTGTAATTTGTTGTCGAAGCGTACACCAAAGGTATCAATGGCGTCATCATCAGTCCTGTAGAAACCATAATCAACGGCAATACTGTTTTGTTATTTTTATTCAATACCGGGTATTCAATTGTTACCTTTTCCATAAAATATGTTATAGATCTAATTGGCTCTAAATATGTTGTAGGCCATAATAGGGTTCTCTTTCCTTCCGTGATATTGATATAAAAGAGGCCATACAATAGTATTGTTTCGTTTTAATTCTATGGTACCGTACTTCTTCGATACAAAATATATAAAATGGTATTACATGATGACGTAATCTATGCTGTAAATATAATTGGCTAATTTCATGAGGAATAAATTTAAGGACAGAAATGGGTGTTACACCACACTTTTCCCACCAGTTTTTAAATATTCAAAAATCTGTATCTCGAGTTTTTCGTGAAACACCCGGCCTTTTTGTGTCTTAGAAAAATCAGGCCTACAATATATCCGAAAATTGTTTTCCTCCGAAGCCTGGCTAGATCAGTAATCACTGTCGGACATTAAGCTTAATCAGTCTTAATTGTTCAGCAACTTGGTTCGCGTGAAAAGTCTGTAACGTGGTACAGTACACTAAAGTCATGGCAGATAAAAACCGCTGGTTGACTGAGAAGTTGAAACTTCCGTTCCGCCATTTCCATCATCGATCAAAGTGAAAGCTATGAAATATAGACGGGTTTGTTCCCGGGTTTGATTTAAACAATAGGCCTACATAAAATTACTGTGTGAGTAAAACATTTAAAGTATCAACAATGAAACTTAGGATTTACAACCCTACAGTATGACCTACAGAAAAACCCAGCGAGATTGACAACCTCAATACATAATGCATAGAAAAGGGTTAAACTTGCAGGTTGAAGATGAAATCATGAGTATACATTTAGCAGGCATAGTCAACAACAGAATGTGATTCGCACGGTAGTGGAAACAATGCAGTAAAAGAAATCTTAAATTTCCTATTAGGCTTACAATTTTAAATATTACATTTAATAGGCCTCATTAAAACAATTTAAGATATTGAGATATTGATTGAATCGCAAAAGGTATAATCTCCGATAAGAGGCCTATTAATACAATTAAATTCATACTTCGACTCTATTTCTAAACACATCAAAATACGATCAATAATTTGTTCTATATAAATTCATAAAAATGTGATGATGAGATGAATACAATTACGAATGAATTGCATGAATTTAATTTACCGGGTGTAATCCTTTTTTTTAATGTTGAAATAGGCCAATATGTAGTCCTACTTTTGAACTTCAGTTTACATAGATAAATACCGTAATAAATAGAAGCCCACGCCAATGGGCTTAATCTCGAGAAGAAGCCCATCTCGAATTGAAGCAACCCCCCCCCCCACCTCCCTTTTTGCAAACAGTAGCTTCGAAAAGAAGCCTATCTCGAAAAGCAGACAATGGGCTTCTTTTCAAGATGACATAGGCATCTTTTCGAGATTCTAGATAGTATACGTACATGAATATGTCGGTAATTGAGTTTTTCACAAATTTTATCTCCAATTAAAATGTCAATCAAATAAAAAATTTAAATAAACTAGGCCTATCAGACAATTATTAAAATCATGATAAGCATATATAATAGTTTATTAATCTTTTTACCATTTTTTAAATTGATAGTAATACGTTATTTTCTCTTTTCTTTATAGTTTGCGTCGTTGAGTTCAGCAATTGCCTTTGGTGTCCAACGTGCACGGGAGGAGCGGGAGAGGATGTCGTATGCAAGAAACTTGCAGACGGCAGAAACCAATGTCATGTAGTATGTCCCTCGGTCGAATGCGAGATGGACAGTGAATGTTTTCTTTTAACGAAATTCCATGACAATGATACGGTTGTGGAAGGCAGTTTGTTGGCTGGTTGCTTTCCTGTTGATACGACTGATGAGTTGTATGTTAAGCAGAACAAGAAGTGTGAAGGAACTTTAGAGGAGGATTTTAACTGCCAATGTTATGTTTCAAATTGCACTTCTAACTTTACTGTTAACCCCGAAAATTATGACCCGAGTAAAAATGATGGTTCAGGAAAAGAAACTAATTCCTCCACAGGTTAGTAATAGAGACCTAATAACTGAATCAAAAGTAGGCCTTGAATATTTCTTATTTATTATTATTTATTACATATAGTATTTATTATTTATGGTAATAAGCGCATAGAATCTCCAGTATCTTGTGTTTTTTATATCATTACATTAACCGCAGCCATTCTGAAATTTATAAGAATAGTTTTCTCTTATTCAGTTTTTCAGTTTTAAATGTGTAGGCCTACCTCGGGATCGGGTTTGATGGTTCAGGCTATTGCCATTAGACCTACAATACGAAGCCTCAGACACATGAGCCTATTTACTTATTCATTTTATTTATTTATTTTCGTAATTGTTTTAGTCATTCAATAATGTTGGTAGGGTCCCAATGACATGATAAAGCTACTCGGGATACCATCCTTTTTAAAAATAATCATAGATATGCAAATAAATGAATAAATGAATGAACGAAGGAATGAATATTAGGCCTTTACATCGACCATAAGATTAATAAGAAATCTCTTAGATATTCAATGCCAAAATTATTTGTTCGAGATATTTACATTTCAGCTTTAATTTCTATATGTTAAAACTAAGTGCTTTGACAGATTATTTGCTTTTTCCCTAGAATCAACTACAAGTAATAAAAATCTTCGGACTACATATAAAGAAACAACATATAAAAAAAACCAAGGCCAGAACATTATTAAATATGTTGTGGGTGGAATTGTGGCGGGTATTTTGTTAATCCTTATTGTGCTCTCGTTGTTCGGCATGGCAGTTGCTAAGCAACGTCGTCGGCTGATGGATGACTATAAACACGGCAGACCATCGAGCAACGCAGAAAGCACGAGCGTCGATATAACATCCGAAGGAAGCGATCAGAAGATTATCGGAGCCGACACACCACCCGAGAGTCCGATTCACGACTACAATCAAAACATGAAAATAACATTAGATTATATAATTGGCAGGGGGCGTTATGGGGCAGTTTGGAAAGCGGAATGGAAACAACGAGACGAGATCAAAGACGTCGCCGTGAAGGTGTTTCACACCTATGACTCAACGTCATGGAACGTTGAGAAAGATCTGTTCACTGACGCGTCGGTTTCTCTATCGCATGAAAATGTTGTTAACTTTATATCAGCCGAAGAGAGACGTCAGACATATCAGCGATTGTGGATCGTTACGAGTTTCTATGAAAATGGCTGTGTTATGAACTATATTAAAATGAATACGTTGGACTGGGAGCAATTCTGTCTAATGGGACTGACACTGTGCCGTGGAATTGCTCATTTGCATTCAGACTTTTCTCCGAATGGTTTACGGAAGGTACCCATCGCTCATAGAGATTTGAAGAGTTCCAACGTGCTTGTGAAAGCCGATGGGTCCTGCGCTATCGCTGATTTTGGACTTGCTGTTCGTCTCGACCCAAATTCATCAACTGATGATATGGCTAACAACGGACAGGTACAATATATCTTTGAGTCATAACAAAATGGACATCATTTAAGCTCTGTCCACACTATCAAATGTTATGTGACAAATAAATGTGACAGTGCCCCTGATCTGTGATATGACATCATCATACGCATAAACAGCCACATTACATAAATGTGTCACATAATTATAATTCGATAGTGTTCACAGAGCTATATTCGTATGTACGGTATTTAACGATGACGAACAATTCATACCCACCAAATTTTGAATAAATCCTGGTTTCCATAATCGCTACACGCTATCGCCGACTCTGTTGGCGACGTTGATTGGTCAGTTGAATCTGAGAGCGTACCCGATTGCGTTGGGGACAGCTACGCACAGTGCAAGGATTGCAGTGTAAACGTTGTAGCGACTGTGTAACGATTCAATGGAAATCAGGTTTACCGTAATGCTCAAATTAGGGCCGCTCTCGAATAAGCGCCGCGCCAAAACTGATTTTTTTTTTTCTTTTTTCGCTAAGTTCCGCTCTCGAATAAGTGCCGCGGCGCTTTAATCAAGAGTATGTATTGCCCTGTGTGAATAAAACACTTTGAGAAACAAGGTTTTAAATACTAAGTGTACAGTGTTAATATGCATAAATAACACAATGAAAACACAAGCATTTCATAAACGTTTATTTACGATGACGTAGGACCTATGATAGGCCTACTGAACTACGGGAATACGTGAGATGAAAGCGCCGCGCCAATATTTCTTAATTAGTGCCGCTGTCGAATAAGCGCCGCACTGAAGCCTCCAAAAATTGTATAAGCGCTTATTTGAGAATTTACGGTAAGCAAGTTATCGATGGGAAAATGGAAAATCTTTAAGGATTTTATATTTGGCACAGGAGTTCAACCATAAATGGAAATCAATTATAGGTCATACACTAGTTTCAATTTCAGTTTATATTATAAACCTCCAAAAAGAAGGGACAAATGTCGCAATACAATATTAAAATTAGAACATCAATTTTAAAAAAAATACTGTAATTCTTTTAAAAATAACAGGTCTGGGAATCATAAGCTGAACTAGTTTTATCATTTCGTTGGATTGCTTAATTTGATACTTTCTATTTCAGGTCGGAACCCCGAGATACATGGCACCGGAAGCACTTGAGTGCAAGGTCAATTTACGAGACATAGAAGCATTCAAACAAATGGATGCATACTCGATGGCTTTGATCTTATGGGAGATCGCAATGAGATGTGACGTCACTGGTTGTAAGTCGTTTCTATCTTTTAAAACATTGTTGTTTTGGAGAAATCCTTCAAGAACCCAGTATTTAGTACCATCATTATTATTGATTTTATGAATGATGATTTTTATAAATGGAAGTAATGGTATATTGGTCATAATATTTTGGAATATTGTTGTAAGTATTACTTAAAGAGGTTCTAACGCAAATCTCACGCGTACATTTCTGCTACTTGTGGTAAAACTAAAAATTCAGTTAAACCATTGAATTGCTTATGTTGAAATGTCGAATAAGTTGTTGACATGAGACACCCGAATTAATTAAGTTTTTGCTGATTTGAGGGCTTTCTGCCATGAATTCTTGAATTGATTACCAATTTAAATATCTGTACAAAAACAAAGGAACGAATATTGAGTTCATAGTTCACAATGACATGTCCTTTTGGAAATTAATTTTACATAGGCCTATACAAATTTGCTCAAATGTTAATTATTACTTAGAACACCAATTAAATGTAAAGCATTTTAATGTACTGCAATAATTTTGAGCTCATTGAAAAGATTATGAACAAAAGGGATTTTTGGGTCGACAAAAACGATTTTTCGTTTTAGTTGTTAATGTAAAGTCAATAATTGACTACAATATACAAAGTACATTTCAAATATTAAATTTATTGTTCAAGTTTGTTATAGCTCAGTACAGACATTATGTTAAAAATGTATTTTACATATCATTACATTGTTAAAGTGTATCTTAGGCATACCAATAATTATAATGCACAAATAATGAATACTACTTTTTTTTACTCAGATGCTCACGAGCACCAACTACCGTTTGCTGATAAAATTCCAGGCCATCCGTCGATGGAGAAGATGAAAACAATGGTTGCATACAGTCGGTTACGTCCTCCAATACCCGAGGATTGGAGCACAGTTACGGTGTGTATATTTTATAGTGACTCATTTCAAAATCTCTAATGGCGCGTATGGATGCTCACGCATTCAAGTACGCGTTATTGCAAATAATTGCTACTTAGATTTCCAGATTTGTGACTTATTTAGATGAACTGGTGTGCGTGATTACACGCGCATTAATAACTTTATCGCTAGAGTCACTTTGCGTTCAGACGATCCGTTGGTACATTTACATTTTGATTTTACAGTTCTGTATATAAAGTATTTTTAAATAACTTCATAATGCACCTGATTGTTTTTGTAACACTGTCTATCATTATTATTCCATTAGCAGATTGGCACGTCTATGTCTATATTTATTGCCTGTAAAAAACTACATCGGTCAGTCTTATCTTTTACAGGAAATGGATTAATGAGTATTTTTTTTTTTTGCAGGGTATGAACATAGTTTCAGCAACGATTCAGGACGGCTGGGATGATGATCCCGAAGCGCGTTTATCAGCGTCGTGTGTCGAGGTTAGATTCTACGATCTGTCGACGTTTATAAATGGCCGTCAGTTAGTGGAAGATACCCCATCCTCTCCAGTGACAGTTGTGTAACGCCATCACAGTAATCTTGAAGATGTGAACTATAACGAATGCTAAGTGCCAAAGGTAGCAGGAGTGAGGAAAGGAAACCAGAAGACTTGTTGCATGTTGAACAGTTAACCTTTGTGAGAATTACCGCGGTAACATGGCCAACAACACGCGGAACATTTCTCAGTTCCGAAGTGCTTCATAAGAAGTTCCATGCCTAGTACTGAAAACTGCATGATAACGGCAATGAAATAAATGCATGTTGATTATCTAATCTCAAATGTATGGCGAAGTTTGCGTGACGTCGCTCAGTCAACGTGGACATTAAAAATGTTTCGCAGTAAATCTTATTGCGGCATTACTTTGAAGTAAAGGCATAAAGTAACTCATCTCTCAGAAATGCCAAAGTATCAAAGTGGACATCATCAATGGGCCGTCTATGACTGCGTCTTTAACTGATAATGTTGAAATAGCTAGCATTATAAGAACAGTGGGTTCGTTGTTTACGGTACCAACAAAGATTTTCCAAAGAATGTATAAAAGGGGTGCCTCTGTCACCAGAAACGATCGGCAGTGATTTGAGATATGAAGAAAAGTTGGGCTAAAAATGATTTTGGATGTTATTTTCCATCGAAATGTGTGTGAATATGAGGTTTAAACAAAAAGGGTACATTAAAATGTAACGAATGCATCAATATTGACTGCATTGTTCCACGCTGCTGAGCGTGTAATAATTGATGCGAATTTATTATGATTTTGATTAGGATGATGATGCTGATGATGTTGATGCCGATGATGATGATGATGATAATGATCGAGGATCATGACCATTACCGTAATGAAGATGATGTTTGGTGTCCATACTAACATTATCAAATGGGAACAAAAATATAATATGCATATGGTAATTTATGTATAATGTTGCCTGTTTTGATATGATTTATGGCAGGCAATCGCATTACGTCACCAAAGCCACAGTTTAAGCTAGACCAGTAAACAGCAAAACTGTACACCAGATGGAGTTCACGTCCGATAATCTCCAAGCAAACTGTGCATATTATATCAGTATTGTTTTTTTTTTTTGTAGCGATTATTCATTTGAATTACTAAATGTATAGGCCTACTTTTAAATATGTTTATCTTTTTATTCTTGTAAGCAATATTCCTTTGTAACATGTCAATTAGTAGCTATCAGTTTAAAAATTATAGTAAATGTTTATTTGTAAATACATATTCGGCAATCAAAAGTTTGTTCATCGGCAATAGCATCTATTACATAATAGTGGCATAACCAATCAAAACCAAGCAATTTGGTCTGTATTAGTTTCTATGTAAAGAACACAATAGCAAACCCGTCCAATATTTGGATAATGTTTGAGCGGGTTATCACTCATTCACGTCACCTTTTTTGGATGACCACCGAATTCTAATGTTTGGTTGAGTGCATTATAACAGTGGTAGATAAAGAAATGGACAGTCCTACATAGTTTTAACTGTCTAAATGTTCAATTCCATTTTATCAATTACAAACAGGTAGCCATGACGTCTTGTGTCAATGCCCCACAAACAGGCAGAAACGATTTCCAAAAAGCCTGGTGACAACATAATACCCGATTAAAGAATCACATTTTCGTATTCGTTGCCTTTTGTGGATGTTGGCACAAATTCTAAACTATCATTAAAGCTGTGTAGGCCCTGATCGTTATGGTCTGCACGTACCGATAATGAACTCTTATTTCGTAGGCCTACAGTTCGCTTTTTCTATGGTGGTTGACGTGATATTCGTTATCCGTTGAAATCGATGTCCTTTATTATTATCTATTTTCCTTTTATTTTTAACCCCTATTTCCTTCGTATTCTTAAATTTATGGGTGTTGCATAGTGAGACAGATAGTAAAGTTTTCAAAATCATAACGTGCGACGTAAGAAACAACATTGTTAACGTTTTTGTAGGTCCTGAACACAAAATAAGAAAAATTTAAACTCATAAGCGTGCACTTAAATGTAGGCGATGCTTAAGTGAAGCCTGTCAATTGTGACATGTTAGTGTTACGTCTAAAGCTAAATTTACACTAGAAACGATAACGACACAACATCGACATATCATCGCGTCATTTTTATTCTTCAACACGGAGCGCATTTTTATCGTGTCGTCGTATCGTTACCGTGTCTAGTGTAAATCATAAATGTAGCTTTTTAGTTGTGATTTAGAAACCTTAATTATCGGCATTGAGTTTCCATCCACTAAAATGTAATGTCTTACTGGCAGGTATTTAAGCGGTCACAATTGACCTTTTTCCGAAGTGCGTAACACGGTGGCTATTGTGACGAAAAGTGTGAAATTCAGGGTGCTTATGCAAAAAAAAACTTGTATCATAATTGTAAAAAGAATAAACGGATTCCATATTTTTCATAACATAGGTCTATACTTGTATAGCTTTAATGTATACACGTGTAGTGCGTACAAATTACTAAACAAAAACAAAAATAAAAATAAACAGCATATATCTAACAAAAAATGCGTTAAGTGTTTGGTATTTTTGTATTTGCATAATCAGCACGGGAAGCAGCAGCAGAAAATCTATTGATACGATTATTATATGTAAACCACGATTCGGCCTTCAGAAAAAAAACTATTTGACCGATAACTTTTAAGAAATATCCTTGGTTTGACTCGTGTAAGATATTGCTAATGACCCTGTGACGAAAAGGAATTATTACTTAAATCTACAACATTAATTCATTACGGTACTGTTGACACTGCGTTGCACATTTACGAGTGGTTAATCAACAGTATAATTACCGATACATTATTTCAACAACATCGTTTGGTAAGTTATTTTAGGGAGCTTTCGATCGTGACAAAAACGTCACCCAAAGAATGGATTCACTCGTTCAACATAACTGTACCGTCATACACATTTTAGATCATTAGGTCTTAAACATTATGACATAAAATATCATGTACAGGAATAATGAAAAACAAAACTTACATTATTACACACGACGACTTCTGTTATCTATGGAAATTCGAAACTAGATTGTATCAACAATATTTTGGATTGATCTTTATATCGGAGAGAAAAAAAACAACTCCCTGTTTAGGCCTATATTGTCATATTTAACATTCGGGAGGTTTTGCAATCCAATCCTAAGGGTGTATTCGTCTTCGTTTTTGCATATACAACAGCTACATTTCTCCTGTTTTATGAACTAATTTGACAGTTCCAATATATTAGTTAAAAAAAATGTTAATATCTTAATATCAAATTATTCAATTCAAATATATAAGTTGGTAAACACCTTTAAACTGATTCTTTGTTCTGTTTGTAAATGATAAATATATGAATAAGAAGACTCGTTTTAATAATTCTGAAATTATGATTCGAATAAGAAGTTATAAAATCTCAATTTTCGACAAATAGGATTAGCACTTGCATTGAAGGATATGGACAACAGTTTCTCGGTCTATTTGGCATTTATTCAATATCTTCATCAATAATTATGAACATTGTGACAGACTTAAAAAACCAAGAATATTAGTAACAGCAAGATAGTATTCCAATTACAGGACACATCTATGTGATGCTCTCTAAACTAAGGGTCTGTCCACATGGTACAGTTTTCTGTGACAAATGCCTGTTATGTGCACATATATAGACATGATGATGTCATATCACATCCATATATGGGTGAACTAAATGTACAGGTCTCCCTATAATTAAAGATCCCTCCATTTAAAGACTGCCTCCAATTAAAGGTCACTTTTCTGTTGTCCCAAATGAACAAATGTCTTTTATCCTTATTATTCAAATTAGAGACCAAAGCTTCTTAAAACCATGGAAAGAAACGCTGGTCCCAAAAGTAAAATAAAATGTGACAGTGTGGAAAGAGCTTTAGAGTCTGTCCACACTATCATTTTTTTTTTTTGTGACAAATATCTGTGCTATGTTTATAAATGGGTGTAATATGACATCAGGATGCCAACATAAAGCCAAATCACACTAACTTGTCACAGGAAATTTGATAATGTGGACAAAGAACATAGGTTTGTGTACACTATCAGGTGCCTATATAGGTATAATATGACAGCCTTATGTCCATATATGGCATGATATGAATTCACTATGCCCATATACGGGCAAATCACAAATATTTGTCACATGACACTTGATAGTTTGGAAAAAGCTTAAGGCGAGACTTTTTTAAAACCTTGTTTCGCAAATTTTTTTTTTTAAAGATCGTCAGAAAAAAAAAATAAAAATACATTTTTTTTTCTTACTTAGCAAATAGTATTGCCAAAAACATCCAGACAGAGGAGAAAATAAAAATGTTATTGGTGAATGTAAACAGTGTAGTAATGGGATGGTTTAATGCTTTAAATTTGTATAATTAGGAAGAAATATACATATCTTATTTTTGGAGATTTCAAGGCAGAGGCGGACATAATAAAAATAAAGAAAACTTTTATTTTCTTCTTAAATTTACATTTTTTTTTGGTGGCGGGTACACTAACTGGCCAAAAAAAATAAAATTTTATTTTTATTCGAAATCATCATTATTGGCAGGCAGTGGATTCACGAAACAAGGTATAAAAAAAATTTTGCTTAAGCCTCTTTAAAGATATACTGTCTGCGATAAGAGAAAAAACACTTAAAAATCAATTAAAAATAAAATTGCTGATTATAAAATTATAGATATGTTATCAACTAACAATTAGATAAATAACAGAAAAATACAGTCTTTGCTGATTTGTGTACAGATATTTCACTATGAAGATTCTTAAAGTGATTACTAGTCAATAATAGTAAGGGGTGTCCCCTTAATAGGGGTGTCCCAAAGAAGGGGGGGGGGGATGTCTACCGTACATTACATAAATATATAAGTAAGCAGTTAAAATATTGAATTTTATTGCTCATTTTATGCTTAACACAGGCAGTATATCTTAAGAGACATGGAAGGAATAAAAATCATGTGTTTTCACCAGTGGCAGCACCAGTGAGGGGGCCAGGAAAGGGGAAGAGAACCCTCATGTCAGAAAACACTGGACTTTCATCTAGGGAAGAAGCCAATCAGGGAACACTGCTTTGAAAAAGCATTTTTATAGTCTGTAAACAAGTGTACAAACAGTACTCTTTTGCAGTAGCCCCTAACTCCCCTCTGAAAGTGTACAAAAATGAGGATTTTGCAAACCATTCTTCATTTTTTGTGAAGTCAACTAAACAATGTACTTGATTGCTTAAAAATGAATATTATATCCATGGTTACATCAGAGTTTTACCATTATTTTACATATTGCATGTTATTTTGAATCAACATTTTTATGCATATGTCTACAAATTTGTCTACCCGTCCCTCTAGTTCACTGTTTGTACACTTGTGGAAATGTTGATATTGTTGAACGACCCCTAAGCGGCACTTCCAGGCATCTAGAGGTGTCTAGAAGCATACCTCAGCAACAACCATGATGGGGCAGAGGTGGGTACAGACATCGTGATGGGGAATCTCTGGCACTGCCATTCGTTTTCACAGATTCGAACACAAGTCAATGGTATCAGGAGGCAAGCACCTTGAACACTTATCTACATCTCTGATAACTGAATCTTTTAAGAATTTTATACATAAAATAAATCCTGCTTTTAAAAACAAATTTATAATGTGCTTATTAAATTAAAAATATTGCAAATGATCACAATGTTTCCTACACAAGTGCTAATTCATACATTTGGTGGTGAAACACATTTAACAAATAAAACAAAAATAAATTCTGAGTGCACCAGAATGTGGCTTCCATTAACTTACTTAAAAATAGAAATAAAATCATCTGTACACACACAAGCCCAACCAAACAAAACTGACAATTTGATTCTTTAGAGGAACCATAAAATGGGGCTTGCCATGCCAAAACCACCATCAGTGGCCAAAGCAAGAAATCTGACTTCTTAATATGTTCATATCATATTCTCCACATTATAAGGTTTAAAATGATAGACTATTTACTAGAATAGTCTTACTAGTGCCAAAGTTATGAGTAAAGGCATTATGGTTTCTCTGTACTAAAGGTTACCACACTGCCACAATCTATTAATTACGCAGTTTAACCACAGACCCTATATACGGGTTTAATATTTAGCGACAGTACGGTGGTTTGGGGATGGCAAGCCTCAAATGATAAAACATTTAAGACAACCTATGCTCTAAATAAACAAATGAACACGTATATTTTAAAATAAATCAATGCTTTGTCTACACCATCATGTGGCAAACATCTGTGATTTGCCAATATATGGGCATTATGATGTCATATCATAGTCATATATGGGCATAATGTCATATAAGAGCCATAAATGGGCATGATGATATCATATCACAGCCATATATGGGCATGATGATATCATATCATAGTCATATATGGGCAGATCACAGGTATTTGAAACATAAGAATTAATAGTCTGGACAAAGCTTTGCACACAGAGATAAAATAATGAGGTAATATTAAAAACAAATAATACTGCGTTAAAAAGAATACAATCAATTGCTTTAAAATAAAACCATCCACAACTTTCTTGTTAATTTTGTGTTCGCATTCACACATGAATACAGTGGATTATTCAATGAGTGTCATTCATCACACTAGGGAGCTTTCGATTTGTGCAACGACGCAATGCTTGAACAAATTGCATTCCAGAATCTACTCGACGAGGTGACCTTAACGTTCTCGCATGCGCAGACGACTTTCAGTGATGTCATTACGTTCTCCGTCCTACCGTTGTCGTGCAATCGAAAGCTCCCTATTATCACTGTTTGGAACTCAGTGACACCTTTGACCTTTCCCCTCCAATGACCTCACAACGTTTTAAACAGAATAAATAAGTTTCATAGTCAACACATGGCAGGAAAATCCTTTACATGTAAAAATAATAATTTTAATATCAACAAATTTTAATAAATCAATTATTATTATCATTTTTATATCTTGCATACAGTTTCTTCTGTACTCTGGTCAAAATCATCAAAATATAATTGAGTACTTGGTGCCTATATATTTAACCAACTTCAAAATAAACATAAGAAAAGGCATCTTTAGATTATTTTATTTAATTAATTTCAAAATTTGCGATTCTATGCAAATGCATTTTATGAAATCTAAATATAGATTGAATTCACATGTTGCATCCAGTATGCTCAGCATATCATGAAATGATTTCAACAAGGTGCCCTGTGCTATTTTTTGTAGCATGAAGATTATACTACCTCTTGTAGCAGTATAAATGCTTACTGTATACCGTATTGATCAGCGATTATTAATATTTTCATCTTAAAAACTTTAGTGTACAGTAATCAAAGTTAGATAATTTTTTTTTTCATAATCTGCATTGCATGTAGCATCAATTTTCCTCCAGAATTTTCATTGCTACAGTTTGTGGTATCAAATTTACATCTATTATTTGCATTGCTACAACTTGTGGTATACAATTTACCATCATGATCTGCATTGCTATAACTTGTGGCATCGACTGCAACTCCATAATCTGCATTAATACTACCGGTATGTGTAGCATCAAATTCTTTCTAACAACCTGCATTGCTACCAAATGTGGCAGCTAACAGCTAAATTGCCTTCCATAATTTTACTTCTCATGTGTGGCATATGCATGATTGAGGATTGAAGGCCTCTGTGCTATCTTTGGTTACTGGACTGGCTCCAACTGATTATCACTTATTACAGAATCACATATCCTCCTTAAAAAAGAAAATGTTATTTATCTTAATAATTATTGACTAATAAAATGGCCGATGTATTTGGCCCTCTCACAGCAGCACCAAGATGCAGTGATGATGTATTTGGCCCTCTCACAGCAGCACCAAGATGCAGTGATGAAAAAAAAGGCACTTTACACTACTACTCTTCCACCAAAACAGAAATCATTTCAGAATTTTGTCCTCTTAAAAAAGCATAAATACTACTGATTATTCCTCATGTATGCAAGGAGGAAATAAATCCTGCATATGGAGCAACAAGATCTCTATCATGCTGGCAAGCCTGGCCCACTCACTAGCACTAGATTTGCCCATAGCAGTATATCTGCCACAAGTGTAACCTCAAGACCTAGGCCTATGACATACCAGTATGAATTTCATATTCAGTTAGCTCCAATATTAAAGTTATCCACTTTCTTTTTGGAACTGCAGCCAAATTCTCAGAGAATCATAATTATATCAAATATTAATGTTTGTAATAGTAGAGTATTAGAAAGTATGATTAGAAAGTATGATACATACTCCAAGTATTGAAATGCATGCCATCGTTTTAGTACTAATATTATTGACAGTTCCCAAAACTGGTCTATCCTATTGTTTAAAGAAGCGTTTGCTATACATAGAATACACCCATTGCTTAACAATGGACTCGGAGCTATAAAGGAGCTTCCGTTGTTTTTGTAGGTAGATTTCATCAGTAACGCAAGAATGCTTTGATCGTTAGTAAATGAGTAAGAATTCTTTGCCACCTACTAGAGGTAATGATTTTGGTATTTGTGCATATAAGTTTGTAAATATGGATAATTTTTTCATTCCTGATGAAGACATATGTGGCAATATTGAATCAATACTTGAAGTATGTATTATACATGGTCCAATATATGTAAAATACATAATCCAAGTATGATTCAACACTTGGAGTATGTATTATACATACTTGGAGTATGTATTATACATACTTGGAGTATGTATTATACTTTAGTAGTAGAGTATTATATGTCTGAATTTGCAGACTACTTAATGATGCTATTAAAACTGAGACAGCGATATAAATATGGCGCCATGAGGCATATTATTATTAATGGTATCGTTTATTGAATTGTATGATTCATTTTATAGTTTTTACAATGCAGATTAAAAAGAAAGTTGTCTCCTTTGGTTTACAACAGATTTGACCCAATACATCCAAGTGAGTCAAAGACAAAATCATAGACACAATCAAAATATAGATTACAGTTGTAATGTATCTTAATCTTGATTCATACGTGGCGACGGAAGAAAATTTCCATGAAGAGCCATCATCAAACACAATCATAATACAGTTACAGTTGTAATGTATAAACACAGTCACAATGTATATTACAGTTAAAATGTATATTATAAACACAATCATAATATACTTAACAACTGTAAAGCCTTGATTAACGATACATAATTTTGAAAATATATCATATAATAATAATATTGTATAATTACTTAACTACCAGAATTTATGTTATTCATATTATTTCGATGTGAGTTTGCGTCAGGAAAATATCATAGGAGTGATGTTTTGCTCTACCTAACGTGTTATCGAATAATATTCAGTACATTCCTAAGCACTTGCAAAAAAGTAATGTTATTCATATTATTAGCATTAATGTAATAAATCATTAAAGCAGTATCAACACTGACATCATCAATGATTCTGAAGCCCTGTCCACACTATCAAAGTTTATGCCTAAATATGGTCATGATGACATGGTGTTTGTGAAAGAAAATTTGATAGTGTGGACAGAGCATAACAATTAAAGAGTCACAGGTGGAAAAGGTAACAGGGAGCCAATTATTATCATGAATACACGTCTAACAAATCTGGCCGTCTACGCCCTAAAAATTGCAATACTAATAGATTAAGAAATTCATTCACTCACAACTCTGTATATAGGCCTATCTATAATGCTAAATTTCACCGACAATTCCATTGCATTACCTTGCGCTAAATTTTTGTTATCTCATCCATCCATCCATCCATCCACCCACCTATATACCTTTGATGATTTATATTATATTATATATATATATATATATATATATATTTTTTTTTTTTTTTTTCTCTTTTGTACTAACCTTTGTATTAATTTTTATTACTTGTAAGCATCAGGAAAAAGAATTTTACTTGTGAATTTTTCCATAAGTGACAATAAAAGAATCTTGTATCTTGGATTATTAAGGTGAAGTCTGAAGGTGATTTATGGTGCAATTATTAATAAACAGATAGCTTTACCTGCACTAGAATACTAGGATGCACGGTGCACTGGAGCTCAACACCAAACATTTTCTCCCATGGTTCCTCTAAAGCTGATATTAGCGCCCTCAATGATGATTTTGTTTCTGTTTGTAAATGCCAGTAACTTTCCTCACCGGAACCCTAATCAAATACAAACGGATCAGAACAATAAAAGATACCGTATCTGAGTTAACCAACTTGATCAAGAAAACCTCAATGTTTTAATTGTATTTATAAAAAATTAAAGTTATTTGCTTTTAATTGCAAATTTAAAACAAGAAAATATTATCCTCAGGAATTAACTGATGCACAAATGATAAAATATATACTTTTCACAAAACTCATGCAATTCTGATAGCCTGTGTAAATCAGTAATAAACGTATGGCCAAAATCAGTCTCATTGAAAATCAGCAACATCCCAAAGTTTTGATTGAATTCCTAAGTCAGGAACTCACAGCGTAGTACAAACGGTCGTATGACTGTCACAAAACGAATCAAACTTCGCTAGCTGTGAGCGCTTGACGAAGCGACACCATCAGCTGATTGCCGGTGGCAGTCTGAATGAATCATCGTTAAAAACGATGCGTTTGCGTGCATTCTCCATAGAATCATGTCAGCCGATGACCGCCGGGCACAGCAAGTACCAAGCTTTATCGGTTTTCCGGATTTCAACACAAAAAGTATAAATTTATCTTACGAAACATAATTGAAATTGTTACATGATTATAACAATACAAAATAAATACAAAATATTAATCTTTAAAAAAAAATGAAAATGTTTTTGATTACCTCATTGAAGAATCCTACACTGATATCTTGCTCACTGTCTTTGAATAACACCTGAGGAAAAAACAAATATAGTATTAATTTTGTATATGCAAATATTTATATAATGATAATAAAAACATTTAAAATTTATCTAAATATATATATTCATTTTTTTCACGCATACATATAACATGCATATAAATTGGTTTTCATGGCGATGTACCAATACATAAAACATTGCAAACAGAAAAAAGAGAAACTACCATAGACACATCAACATTGGTGGGTTAAATAAAAGTAATTGTCTCTTCTGTTTCATAATGGTGGGCTTACAAAAACCAGATTAAGTTCACAAAGCACTGTCAAACAAAGTGCTGCCTGCATGCCTGCCTGCACAACAAATTACTAGCAAATTTCTTTCAGCTTCTCAAGACCTGCTTGTTCTGCAGTTCTGTCAAAATCGTGTCTCTACCACCAAAAAAGAGTAGCTAGCTTGTGAAGCAGCAACCAGTTAAAAGAATACATTAAAAAAAAACAAATGTCACACTTACAATGCCAGAAATGTTACTGATCAGTTCAAGTTGCTTAACTGTAAACTGTTTCATCTTTGGTGGAATGCTGTTGTTTGGATTCAATGGCCAAAAGTAATTCTCATCCAAAATACATATCTCGTTGCTTGTGACAACGATGCTGCAGGTAGTATCAACTGCCTGACATACTGCGAAATAAAGATGTGATGATAAGGAAACACCAAAGCAATTCCTAAAGTACATACATGTGGTGGACCAGTTGGTTGGATGGTTGTTGGAAGTCATATGCAGTTTAATACAAAAAAAAAAAAAAAAGTCAGGTACAATTTTTAACCAAGAATAGGTTTGCCATCTAATATTCCACAAACATTTATTTATACAAACATGACAAAGTAATACTCACAACTGTATGTATGTTATGAGCCTGTTTGTAAAAGCTTATTGATAGTATTTACAAAAAAACATGGCCTAACAGTAACATGACTAATGGCTTTTTCTGTGCATACAGGAAGCCTCTCTGTTTTAAGAGTAGAGCCCCTATTAAGGTGACATATTCAGCAATAAAAGTATATATTTTTTTTTCTCTTTCGTGGTATAACAACCACCACTTTTATTCATCAATACATCAAGTTGTTTGAATTACAGCATTTTTGATATTTCACCTTTTTTCTTGATTTTCTTATTTTTTAAACTTCTCTTGATTCTTATATAAACAATAAAATATACAAATTAAGTCATACAATTAAAATCGTAACAATTTTACACACTTCAATGTATATATTATGAAAAGGTCCCCTGAATAAAGTTGGCTGTAGTGTTAAGATATATACTGAGTCACTTTGTAGCTGAAAAGTGTCTATAATAGCAGTGTCCCAAATGAGGGATTATACTCTATTTTGTTTTTTAAGTAATCTAAGTATATATATGCAATAATTACTCAAGTAAATTCTTACCTTTCCTAATTGTTTTATATGATTTTAAACTTCCTATGATGTAAGTTCTTAAGGTACTGTCTTCATCTATTGACTCGTTAGCGTCAGATTTATGTATCGTTTCCAGAACATTGAACAATGTTAGTGCATGATTTCTGGAGACGCCTGCAAACCGCTTAGCATCAGCACAATTCTCGACAACATCTGCAATTAGCAACATTGTCAAAACAAAATATGATACAATGCAACATAGTCGTATGTATACAGGAACCAGGGGCTAACCCAGGAATTTGAAATAAAGGGACCGAGGTAGGGACTTTCACAGATGTCTAGATCACCTCAGCCTCATCATAGTTTGGGCTGAGAAAATTTATGCTTATGTCACCTCTAGATGGCCAGAACTAGCACTCTCAGGCTTAAAATTTAAATATAACTTTACCATGTCATAAAATTCTATTACAGTACTAACCGAGTAAGCAATGTATAAATTGTTCACAACGCAGTTTATCTTTAATCTGGATCGTGTATACTGACACCTCCGTGTTAAACTCCAGTTGAATGCACTGACTACCAACACCGACGTGTAGATGTCGAAGATCTTTGATTGGATGCTGAGATTTCTTGAACACCCAATCAGATGGATTATCACTAAAATTTAAAAATAAAATGTACACATATAACAATAAACTACATATATTTTATGTAATAAAATAATTTGATTTTATAAATTGTTACCTTATAGCTTATAACAGTATGCATACTACTACACCAGTCTCTATGCACTTATATTGCCTTGGTCATTGATCAGAACAGAATCAATTGGGATTTCCATAAAAAAAAAAAAAACCAGCATTGGTTACCAAAACAAAACAAATTGGACTTAATATGTTCATATTCTCTACATTATAACCTTTAAAATGATGAGTACTTACTACAGCCAAAGTTACAAGTAAAATTATTTCGGCTTCCTTGTACTAAAGTATACAATGCTGCCACATTCCTATGCTAATTACTCAGATTTACAATTTCAGAAAGTACACTGGGTTTGGGATGGCACGCCTCAAATGTGAACATTCTGCAACCTCCCCTTTCCTTCTAATTCATAGGTGTTTGGAACCCCAGTAGCTTATCTAGAAGTGTTGACATTGGAGATGGGGCTGATAAGGATACAATGGGAAACTGAGAAGCTTCTACTACCTGGGAGAATGATAGAGGTGATATGAGGTGATTTTCAACTGCCTGAGCATAATTTTCTTGCTGGGCAAGTTTCCAGTGGAAGGGAGAGCACGCATTTTCCTGTAGGAAGGCACAACCTTCCTCACACCCTTCCCTACTTAGATACACCACCACCACCTCTCCTCTTAATTAAGACCTCTTCAATTAAATTTAATTTAAGACCACCTCCAATTAAAGACCACTTTTCATTGGTCCTTTTATCATTAGGCCATATTAATTTAATTGTTTGTCTCAAAGCTCTCCTGTTTCCAAAAATGTAATGCAGAATGCGGTTTTTTGTAAAGTTTGTTTTTTTTAAATATGTTTTGATAAAATTATATTTACAGTTGAATTGACCATAACGCTAATTCGAACTGCATTTGAGTCATGTTATCTTATTTTCTATGTTGTCTGACATCAATCAAAAACAATCTTATACAACATTTTCAAACATATGGGAATAACAACTTCCTACTGGAAGGAAATCTCACAGTTTTTTACTTTTTGAGGCGTGAACAACGCGCATAAATTTAAGATAAACAAATTAATCAATATGGCCTTATTATTCTAATAGACCAAAGATCAAACCTGCTAAAGACCATGGAAGCCTCAGTCCTAAAAGTGGTCTTTAGTTGGAGGCAGACCTGGATATTATTCTTTGTATACATTCCTTACCTTTCTTTGTTGGTGATTTTCATAATAAATATTGTGGTTGTTGAGACTACCATAAGACCAGGAAATTCTATTAACTTGTTGTGTTGAAAGACTTGACCCTGTATAACAATTAAACATCTCCTCATTAATAAATTAATTAAAGTGAATGTATTATATCAACATGAAAAATAATGTGCGAGTATTTACTTTATAAAAAATCAGCATAACTAATCTACATCCATGACACTATCTATCATATGCGACCGGCTCTGGCAAAACCCCCCGTTTTGTCGCAATTTCTAATTTCCCACAAGCATCCAAAAAATTTGAGAATCAGAATTTTGAACATTTTTAGAATTAATAAATGAAGATATATTGAAGCACATTTTCGCAAGATATCAGTAACTAAATCTAACTGAAAAGTACAGTATATTAAAATTATTTTAAAAATATAAATCTTATAATTAAACTATTGATTTTGGAATCTGTGGAAGTTGTTTTCTCAAAACCTACACGGCTGACATCAATTAATTAAATACAGTGTTCATAACTTTGCTAATACACAACTAATTTCCATCAAATAAACACTGTTTTAAAGAAGAATTCATGCAGAATCTAGAAACACAAAAAACTCAATTTTAATTTTTTCCGACAAGCAGATGGTCTTACCAGAGCCGGTCACATATATTAACATATTTCATATAAGAATAAATAACCGAGAATTATGATACATAGTAAGAACAAACACAATGGATACTTACTTTTAGCATACAAGCAAACTCTTCAACATCTCCGAACAAACTCATGGAAAAGTAGAGCTTGAGTCTGTGATCTACCGTTGTGAAGCTATGATCAAGATCATCTACCGCTATGGCACTCTCCTCCTTCTCTTGCTCTTCCTTGGTTGCCGTAGAAAAATAATCAGAAGGGTCGTCAAGATCATTTGAATAACCATTGTTTATCTGTGAGTCTGTTGCACTAATATAGTCTGATAAGCCACCGATTTCACCGGAAACTGGGCTTGAATTATGAGGTGTTCCAAAAGGAGTTGCTTCTAGAGAACGATTAGAATTTGCGAGGCCGCGACTTGTTCTGTTTGATACCGTTAAGCCGCTGGGGCGTACAATTTTAGAGCTTTCCGATTCGGAATCGGAGGTGAATTGTTTATCTGTTATGAAACTATCTAATAGGGATCCATACGGAGTGTTCCCAGAGGACGTGCTGGCTTCAAAATCGTTCATATTCCCATTGCCAACTCGTATTTCCGGACCGCTGTTTAAGGCTTTTACAAGTCCAGATTGTGAATTACTTGACGTTTCTAGTGGAGAATCATTGTCTACATCTGCCACGTTTCCATTATGGTTCAAAACCATTATATCGCTATCTATACTATCCCTTCCAAATAACGACTGTTTATAATGGCCGTTGTGGCGTGGTCTTTCCAAATGATTTACTGGCATTTGACGAGCACCTGTAGGAAGGACTAAATTTTCACGATTACTTGGATCGATAACAAGGCTAGTCCTAGAACTTTTGCGACTACTGTTATTCGAGCCTAAGATGTCCTGTGGTACTAAACAATAGTGCTGATCAAACTTTTCCTTCTTATTAACCTCCAAAAGCGCTTCTATCTTTTCATGAGGGTACTCCGGAAGTTCCTGCTTCGGAAGAGGAGAGGCGAGTCTAGACATGTCTTCTTTTAACTCTCGCTCAAGAGTGGCGCAATCCTTTTCCAAGACATCGGTATCGTTGTGACTGCCGCCATCTGTTCTGTCGCCGTCCAGTATTGCAGTTGAGTTACTAATGCGAGTTTGGGTAATGGTAGAAGAGGAAGAGTGGTTAGTTGTGATGAAGCTCGACACCGGTGAACTATCAGGGGAGTTATCTGGGGTGTGGAAGTCGGTTGGGCTACTCCCCAATGAACGCACATATGGCTGATCTTTAGTTCTGAGAATACAATGAGTATAATAAGCAGATGAATTGAATTGAGTGATGGAATATACAGTAAAACCTCGAAATGAAGCCCAGTGGGCTTATTCTCGAGATGAAGCACATCTCAAATTGAAGCCCCCTCTTTAGTTTGCAAAATTAGCCTGTAAAAAAAGAAGCCCATTTCAAGATAGCATAGGCTTCTTTTCGAGATAGTACAGTACATACACTGTACATGAATTTCAGAAAACAAAATAAATTAAATACAAGCTTGGTTTATACAGTAGTTTAGGTTATTTAATGCCAGTTAAATACAATCGATGATACTTTACTTAGCAAAAGTATTCTCCAAAAGAAGCCCATCTCGAAAAGCAGCCCATCCAAAGTTCGCAAAAGCAAAGAAGCCCAGGGCTTTAATTCAAGGTTTTACGGTAAATGATTTTTCAATATGAATGACATACATATAATGACTGCATGCTTGATATGATTTTTTTTTTTCCTGTTAGGATACTGTACAACAATCTTAATTATGTCAAACATGGATGAGATGTCAAAATCTATAAATCATTAAAAAAACAAAGAAAAAAAGTAAAAAATATACAAACTATAATAATGTTAGTAGTACTACTATGAGGCTGAGAGCGCTATAGGCTTACATAAAAGTTGTTGTGCATCAACGTAGAGGGCAGTTCTTGTAAAAACAAAACCCCATAACACTATCAACTTCACATGTGGATAAGGTAAAGAGTAAAGGTAGGAGAATAACCCATAACTTGCAGCGTCATTGTGCTGAATAGCGTATGGGCATGGTCCGTGACTGCCTAAGTAGCTACATGTTTACATCATTCCACAACGACAGGGGCTGAAATGAACCATAGCATCGGGGTAACCCCCTACTTTTCCGAAAGATGCAATGGGTTCTTTAAAGTGCACATGAGCCAGATGTGTACACTGGACCTCCATTTTAAGTCCTTATCCTTATCTACGAACCGAAACATGGGCGAGGAGCGGCTGGAACCAGCGCCAATGTTAAGGCTGTAATTAGCGGCGCCCCTGCCTTACCGCTCGGCCAATCGTCTCGCCTTGATAAGGGCATCGGAAACCGGGGTACAATAGGATATGGACATCCCTTTTTAGAATCTATTTTAGTAATGAAAGAAAATAAGGACATATTTATAGAGGTTGTTAGCATAGCATGGGATGGATGGTTCTAATATTTTTGACGTGTGTTCTAGTTAAAAGAACAATGGCAAGTTATTATATTCAGTTAAGTGCCTCTGAAACTTGGGACCAAAAACTTATGCTAACAACGTACTCAGTCTGTTTCCACGGTGAGGATGCTGCCAATGGGAGTGCATTGTTGAGGGATGTTAGGGATCCAAATGGAGTGTTGCCAGTGGATGCCGGAAGCTGTTGGTCTTCCCACTGCATGGTGTCCAGCTCAACCAGAAGATCACTTCTACATTTAGGGCACACCAGTATCTCTCTGACAGATTCAATATCTAAAAGAGATCATTACAATTTTCAACAGTTAAGTAATTAATAGCATGAAAATTACTATCTAACTCTCTCATTATTAGTTCAAGAGAAATAGTCCCTTCCAGAGTTTAATTGTTGTTAAGTAAATCAGGGGTCCCAAGTTGGTAGAACCCACTTCTGGGGGATTTGTTTAATTACATTGAGGGCGCTATATATTCTATGAGGAAAAAGTGTAGGTACCAACAAAGGGAATTTTTTAGAATAGGCATCGTTAGGAGCCCGGAAATGGCACTGTCAGACTGCAAAAATATAATCGGCAACCAAAGTTTAGGCCTAAATAAAACAAAAAGATTCGTTTTTTACTGAATATGCGGGAGATAAGTGAATTTCCGGCAGATTTTTGCTTGTTTGGGGGAGACCATACCGATTTCCGGGGACTCCTGGGAGTTCTGGGAGACTTGGAACCTCTGAGTAATTATTTATGTATCCAATTGCTAATTAATGTGACAAAGAACAAACTGCCAATTAAATTCAAATGCATCAATGTTCTTTAAAACAGATGAAAAAGGTCACAATAATTAAATATTTTCATCAGTTATACTGGAGAACCTGTTCAAAGCTTCCTACTCTTTTGCCTCAAGGCCTAGTATGCTGTTTCAGTTTTAGTTAGGATTTCAAACTACTGTAGGGCCCTGGAATTGGTGGCAGGCCTCAAAAAATTTTTTAACATTAGGGAGTGTTTGAATGAGAAAGTAGAACAACAACATAGAACAAGTTCACCATCGACAACTGACGTAAATTTTCTACGTTTTATCATGAATCAATTTAAATATTTTGTTTCAATGATGCATACGCAGAGATGTGAAAAACGTAAAAACCAACATACTTCAACTCAGTCATTCATTAAATGAATATAAATAATTATAGGTTCATTTTCATTTATTTATTTGACATCAAACAGTGCAGGGGTTGCATTAGCAACAATGCACCATAACACGAATGTCCCGCACCCCTGAATATGCTACAAATCTCAATTAATGGCATTTTGGTTGGTACATTACAATTCGAACGGTTTTTCTCAGAACCAAAATACTATCAATTGAGAATTTTAGAGTACCGAAAACCTATAATAATTATTTATTAATGTCAATTCGCCATGCAAACCTCCAAGATTTAAAAGAATATAGTACTGAACATAGACTTGGACGTTGATTTCCAAATTTTAAGGGATAACTCAACATACAAATTTCAGACATGCGCAGTTAAATAAATATGACGTCAGTAAGTTCTAAATTCTAACTCATGGCAAATCGAAAGCAACAGTACCTATAGAAAGTGCAAGATGCTCACCGTTTGTGAGAAAAGATTGGTCGTTGCGTCTATTTTGTACTTCCTTGTAGGCATCTGTTTTGTTAAATTCTTTGGAACATTTTAGGCACTGCATTCGATCTTTCATTATGACACTTGATTGGTTCTGCTCTAACATCGGTGAAAGTGTTTCTAACAAAAGCTAATAAATTGTGTATTTAACAATTTGGTTACCAAACATAATTATCTTCATGTTGCATTAATAAATAACAATACTAAGAGCAATGGAAGAATATAACAAAGCATAAATACCAAAACATTATAATTTAATAGGTAATAATTTTATGCAGCTTCAAATTTTGAATTTTATAAATTCTTCAATTTTAAACTAATTATGCAAATTAATTATGTTTGACAATTTCACCACATTGTGCCTACCTCAAATAGTAGATTTTCAAAAAGTGATTAATCTGTGACTAAAGCCCTGCCCAGACTATAACATTTTATTTTACACAAAAACATGAGACATGCCTAAATATGGTCATGATAACATCACATCACGACCATATATGGGCAGACCATGACTATATATGGGCATACAACAGTTTTTTTGTCAAAGAAAATTTTGATATTGTGGACAGAGCATAAGGCTTGGTTTACACTACGGCAATTTAAAAATGTTGGTGTGTCAGCAATTCTACTATAGGTAGGTTTAGTGGAACTGTTTGCGCCACCACATTTAAATTGTTCTGGTGCGAAACTAGTCTCATACAGATTGGATTAATGTTAAAAACTTGCACTATGTACTTTTAAACCCTACCATTCACCAATTTTTGCTGCTGCCATCCTCTTTGCTATCATTATCAATATTATCATCCTAATCATCATCATCATCCCCCATTCTGATGATACTCATACTCATCCTCACCATCATCTTATCATTGTCCTCATCCATACCATCCTCCTCATTGTTGCCACCACCATCGTGGTCACCATCATCACCATCACCACTAATCATCTTCATATTATCAAGATATTATCATCACAATGATGCTTGAGGGTATCACCACCATTTTTACTATCAACAAGGTCAAGGATGCTGCCGGCGGCATCATCATAGTCATCAGCATCATCATCAATATACTGTATTATGAAATATCACAAAAAATCAACCTGATTCTTTACCTTGCTGTCTTTGTCATCATCCATAAGGTAGTCACGTCTTTGTCTATCCTTCCTCATGTAATCAAATGTCAGGTGGATTGCTGGGATGATCAAATGTTTACCTGAATCCTCTAGCACTGTTTCATTTCCTTGAGTTATGCTGCAAAGCAAAACAAAAACAATTAATTTTAAAACGAAAATCAAATTTGATCATTAAGATTAATGAAGACAATATTTTTATCATATTCTAATCAATATAATCTCAAAAAATCTCGTTTGTTTCTTTGGACAAGGCACTTTATCAAAGTTTGTCTCTCTCCACCCATGAGTATGTGGATACCTGGTGGGACCTAATACCAAACACGGATTCTAGCTGCCTATGGAATTGTGCTCCTCTCCATTCTCCCCAGGGATTTGAGGATGTGTTTGGTCCAGTGACTCGGAATAATAATGTAAAGTCCATAGAGCCAGCTTATTGCAATATACAACTATATAAATGTTGCACTAATATTAAAATTGTTAAGCTTAATAAATTAGTCCTAAAAATGTGTTACAATGCACTGTAGGAATGTTTTCCACAACTTGGAAGAGCTTTCTTGTACTTTTGTATTTTTCAACTTTTGTTTCTTTGTTTCAGGTAGTATTGAAGAGCTCACTAACAAGTGGGTAATACCCTCTTTTGAACAGCCGTATCTGTAATAGTCACTGAATTTTTCATGTTATATGTTATTTAAACTTCATAAAATATAAATCAGCTTGGTAAAACATTCTATACCTTTTCAGGGCTCTAAGGTCAAGCTGGTCAATCAGTTCACCATCTAAGTTTTTTTCTTGGATGAAAGTTCCCCGAACTGTCAGGAAAACATGTTGTAAATCTGCGCTGATTGGATCTTCTACTCGAACAAGAAGTGGACCACACAGCTCCTCCTCTGAAATCAATTTAATTATAGCGATAATTTGATAGATAATTAGATAGATATCAATCCTGTGTAATAAACGTAATGATAATGATAAGAATAAACCGAATAATATTATTAATCAATAACAATAATATACAAAAAACAACAATCAGCCTGACAATAATAATTTAATAAGCCATTCAAATAATAGAAACTTTCACAATAATTATACAGTTTGCCCTCTAATTCTAGACCAACTCTGGGACCTAAAAATGTTGGGTGGCCTCAGGGTTTGGTCCCCAATTAGAGGGTTAGCTTTGTGTTAACAGATCAAAGACTGTTATTTTGTTCTTTGAAAAAGTAGTCTTGAATTAGCGGCTTTCAGAATTAGAGGGGCCTCAAATTGGAGGGTTCACTATATTTGTTTCAGAACAACCCTATCTTTTTTTAAAGTAAAAATAATAAGATAGTAGAAAATTTATAATGAACAGTCAATGTATTTTAAAAGTTTTCACACAAATTTGAGCAACATCTTTTATAGCAAAAGCTTGTTATTGAGGCAAAAACCCTAGACATAAATATTTTATTCTTAGTCACATTACCACTTTTTTTTTTACATGTATTTAGTTAATGACTACTGAGGCTACTCAATAATATTTGACTTAGTTCTACATAATATTTACATAGAAAACTGATGAGTATTAAAATATCACCTATCCTCAAAACATTGAATTTAATTTAATATTCATATTTGTTCACTATCTGAATAAATGACAATAAGATTTTCTTGTCTTTATGTTTTTTCTTATACCCATTTTGTTTTCCATGTACCCCATGTTTTTTTTTCATATTTTTTTTTTTTTTATATAGGCATTCCTACACACAAGCTTTTGCTTTTTTGGAAATGCCTTCTTCATTAGTTTGTTTTCTACATGCATTATTGTATTTCCTATGTTGAAGAAAATAAATGTACGGTACCTATGAATGAATGAATGAATGAATGAATGAATGAATCATTAGGTTAAACTATAAATATGTAAACAACTTAAAATGCCCAGCCTCGTGTAAACTACATTTTATATTAATGCCCTTAAAAATTATATTAAAAAAAGGTGGTGTGTTTGTAAAGTCTTAAATGAAGGTTAAAAAGTCTTGATTTCTCTTTAGGTCTTGTATACACGGCCCACTCCTTTTCCTTCCTTATAATGTGACTGAGAAGGTAGAGCATAGCAATGTAGTTACTTCTGCCATACAATTCATAATACTATTCTAAGTACCATTTGGCAACATTCACAGAATACTTATTTTATGCTTCTTTTAGTTGGGGAGTGAGTTTAATAGTTTTACTATCATATAATTATTTGACCCTTCTAAGTGAGCAATTTCAATGCTTTTATCATTTTCTTTAGGATTTTTTTTACATTTTTCCTAAAAAACATCACAGGAAAAGTGGTAAAAAAAATAAAAAAATAAAGATATTAATACTGAAATTAATAAATTATTTATTTATTTTATTGTATAAGATTTATATAGCGCACAGCCAATTATGGAAGAACTGCTACGCCACTTTTTCCCTGGTCATTGGATACAGAATCATTCATATACAATGTGCAACCTCCTCCACTTCCTGGTGAGTATTCCTTGTTATGCATGTAATTATTTATTTATTTATTTTATTTTTTGTAAGATATATATAGCGCACATCCACTTATAGAAGAACTGCTAAAGGCACTTTTTTCCCTGGTCATTGGATACAGAATCATTCAATCATCACACAAAATGAGCACCCTCCTCCTCCCACCGGGGAGTATTCCTAGTTATGCGTGTAATCAGCACTACTAATTCCATTCCGAATCATTCACTCCCTACCAGGTACCCATTTATACTCCTTTGTGAAATAATGAAAATCAAAAAATCATATACCTTCAGTTGATGACAAACATATTCTATTGTCTTCTACATGTACTGTCGGTTTATCAATAATTGCTACTTCTTTTTTCTTTTTGTTCTTTCTATCTTTCTTGCCATTAGCAGCTTTTTTGGTCGATGATCCATCATCAGTCGATGACTCATCTGTTTTTATGTTTTGAACAGCAATAAGCCAATGAGGTCCATGAAGTTGTCGCATCTTATCCATCTCGGACCTGAAGTCTGAGTTTGTCGTAGCTGCTCTTTGACGCGGACCTACGAATATAAGAATCAGAATGAAGAATAAATTTTGGCAAAGTCATCATCCTCATAACCATTTTCATCCTCATCATCAATAGAGAGCTTTCGATTTGAACAAATAAAACAGAGTTACTCATCACTGACCATCGTACGTTCTCTGCACAATATCGATTCGTTCCTAACTACGTCCTACGACGAGAACTTAACATTCTCGCATGCGCAGACTCATCACTGACGTCATTACGTTCTTGGTCTTTCCGTCGTCGGGCAATCAAAAGCTTCCTATTATCATACGCACACTACTATCATCATAACAATCACTATAATTAAATTTATCATCGTAATAATCTTCATTATCATATCATCACAATCTCATCATCATCATTAATATCGTTGTCATAATCATTATCCCAATCATTATCAACATCACTAGGATTAGTATCACTATTATAAATTATTGTCATTATACATAATGGCAATAATATTATATTAATAACTTACTATAATTTATTGTCAATAAATAAATATATTACAATCTCACCTTTTTCTTTGATCTTAGATGGGTCTTGAAAAGTGTTGCTAATTGTAGGTGTTCGTACCTTCCTTGCTTTCTTTAGCTGGCTCTCTGTTTCTTTAGCGGGGCCTCTAGAACTATCGTTAATTGACGGAAAATTATCCAGCATAGAAGGATCAATACTACTCTCGAAAGAGCTCTCCATAAAATTGGCTGACTGGCGGTATTTTTGTAGAGGGCGCTTACTAACTTTCTTCCGTTCAAGCTGAAAAATGTTTACATTCAACAAGACTGTAAATATAAAGTCCCTTGCATCACCAGCTAACACAAAGAGTGCATATTGTGTTAGTTCATGAAAACAAAAAAGTGTGTTAAAATATGTGCTGCTGTCGTTACAGACTTTTGTGCGGTAAAGAATACATAATTGCATAACAACCAATATATGCTTTTTTTGACAAGATTTTCGTTTTCACAAACTATCACAATATACTATGTGCTAGTGATGTAAGTGTTGGTAAGTGTGATATTATGTGGATATTACAAATTGCATATTATGTGGGATAATTTTTTTTAAATATATAATGGGAAAACTGTTTATATATAAATGTATTATGGGAGTGTAATATACAAAGAGTATATGCATTTTGGGTAAATACGAATATGGTTTGGTAAAGGCTTATACATTATGATATATATATTTCTATTAAATACATTATGCTGACTGTAATGCATACAGGTGTCTGAAGCATGATGGCATATACAAGTGTATAATTAGACTATGATGACTTGACATTTTACTTGGAAAATAAGTGAATGAATCCCATTGTTAACCAATTTGTATAATAGATGGCTGCAACATAATCATAGTACCGTAGATGTTGGTGTCCAGGAAATAAACATAAAATATATAAGCCAATTCAAAAGAGAAAGTTAAAAATATCTTATCTTACAAAACAGATGGTTACCTTCAATAATAATCAGCGTACGCATTTGGAAATAGTATTATACTTACTGTCTTCTCCTGCTTGCTGATTGGCTTATCATCAATTATAGGCTGTGTGTAGAAAACATTAAAAAACATAACAAATGATGAAAAAAAAAACAAAAAAACATGAGAAAGTTAACCAAATACTGGTGGATCGTTAGACCCTCAAAAATAATAAATACATAGCCCAACAGTGTTAACAATTAAGTTGCTTATCTTTTTTTAAATTTTTTTTCTCTAAATTTATCACACACATCATTCAAATTTTGCATTCTGTACCAAATTATGGTGGAAAATATCACATTTTTGGTCTCATAATTAAGGCCTATTTACACAGAGTGTGACAGCGGCCTGCGACAGCAGCAAAAAAAAAAAAAAAAAAAAAAAAAAAAAATTATGTTCTTCATGGTGATCGTCACTAAATGTGATGTAACAAAACAACATGTCGTTCAGCATAGAATAATTATAAATTTACATGCGTCGAGAAAAAAAAATATTACAATCTTTAACAATCACTGACTCCGGATATTCTTCCGAGCAATTAGGTACTGCAGAACAAGCAATGAAAGTTGTGTGTACCATGACAGTTGTCGCATGCTCTGTAAATGGATCGCACTGGTGGATACAATATTTTTGTTGCTATCGCTTGCCACTGTCGAACTGTGTAAATAGGCCATTAAACATTATTATTTTCATTATCTGATGATGGCGATATCACAATTTTGTTCCCTTGTTTCCTTGTGTAATCTAATACAAATAATATCTTGAACCTACACATCTTATGGTTGCCTTTGGCGACATATTCTTGATGATGTTTTCTCTAAAATTTGTATTGTAACTCACAGGATTTCCTTGTAAATTCACCTGGAGGGAAGAAAATAAAACCAGAAATGGAAAATGAGACAGAAACTTTCTATCAAATTAAAAACAACAATGAAAATTGGAGGAAGCTATCCTAGTCAACTCAGAAACTACATATTAATCAGGGAGATACAACTTTTAAAACTGAAATAAAATGAACTTATATAGATAGTCAAGGCAGACCAGTTAGATACTGCACATTTACATCAAATCAACAATCAGATAATGAATTCTTCGTATGTTTACTTTAAAAATTGCTATTTGTAAAATTCTTTTATTTTTTTATATTGTTGATATGTTTAAATTTTACATTGTTTATTTGTAAGTTTTTTTATTTTTAAATTGTTTATATATTAATTTTTAAAATCATTTATATGTTTAATTTTTAAATTGTTTATTTGTAAATTGTACACTTGTACAATATATCATGTTAAGTTTTTATATACTTCATTGTAAGGATGAAATACCTTCTTAGCCGTGCATCACTGATCTAAAAAAAGTGTTAAATAAATAAATATAATAAAATATTGATCCAAAATAATGTATTCACAATAAACAACTGATGAATGACATATAAACAGAAAACTACCAAAAGTGACTTAGATCTTCCTTTTGTTAATTGTAAGCTTCATACTAAACATGCTTGCAACCAACTCTATGTAGCTCAATATCTAAAACTTATGTCTAGAGGACAAACGAGTCTGATTATTTTTTTTTCTTAATCTATAAAAAAAATTGTTTTTAAAGATCATCGAAGGAGGGCGGAATAAAAATTAAAAACAAAATTTTGTTTTCTTATTTAGCAAATAGATTTGCCAAAAACATGCAGACGAAGGAGAAAATAAAAATCACATTTTATTGGTGAAAGTAAACAGTGTAAAACGTTTATTTTTTCTGAAATTTCCACTTTTTCGCGGCAGCAGGTTGGTCAAAAATAAAATTTTATTTTTATTCGAAACCATCAATATTTGCAGTCAGAGGGTTCGCTGAACATGTTATAAAAAAAGTCTTGTCTAATCTATAAAAAAAACTATATTAAATTGAATCAATAACAGTATGGATACGCAGATTTAGGTTAAAGAGGTTTACTTCTCAAAGACAAAAAAAAAATATATAATAAAAAAATTAAAAATGGGTTAGGGAATGAAGAATAGCAACATTAGAATTGGACTAAAACCAACGTTCTCCTAGGTTTAAGCACATACAGTGCACAACAACTAAGTTACACTTTAAAACCAATATATAGATACATACCATGGCCAAGTAATGTAGTTGAGAAAAAACCTCAAGCCACTTCTCATCATGGATACAATTATGGGATGCCTCTAGCTCCTCCAAACCATCAAGCTCCTCAATCCCATCCAAGTTGTCGAGATTGTTGTTACGGACGGCTAGTGATATCAAACATCGCTTGCCCTGGACGCCAAGATTCGGAATGTTCTTCAGACGATTGTAGCCTATGTTTAGATACATGAGTTTTGGTAGCCACTGAAAGAAAAGTGTTGATCAATTTTAGGTGAATCATCACAACGCTATTCATTTTTCGACATTGCATGTTTTACATTTGTCACGATCTTCAGCAAGGAGTGCATGTTAAGTCGGGCTCTTACGGCGGCGTACAACGGTTGAATGACTGTTGCACGATGAATCCAACTTCACTCCCTGTGAGCGCTAGACGATGCGACAACGTCTGCTGATTGTCTGTGGCAGTCTAAATGATCCAAAGCGTGTGCGTGTGCGCGCTTCATAGAATCGCGTCAGCCGACTACAGAGTGACTGTCCGGCTTTAGTCCAATGTAGAAATTCTAAATTTTAGGTGAATAATAAGTGGTTTTATAAAAAAATGTATGTAAAAGTTAAATACATGTAGTTTCTGTCGGCAAAGTTACGGTCTAGAAATATATTCACATTTGTGTCCAAGGTAAGATACAACACAAGATGTTTTTAAGTTTAAAAATCATAGTATTCCCTTCCACTGGCATTACAGAGTGTAAAACCATATAGCAATAAAAAAAAATATATATAATGATAGAAAAGTTAAAAATAAACACAAACACCAAAACTGGAGCAGTGCTAATACTAATAGTTGACATACATTACTACTTATTGAGGTCTGTCCATCATGAATTTTTAAAGTACATGATAAATTTCTGGACGTGAAATCAAACAGTATAAGTCTATCTACAGTAAGATTAGTTTTGAACAACAGTTTTGAAAGTACTTAAGAAGTCAATAAAGGAAGTTTACAAAAGCTCTGAGCTATATCCAATGTTTATATATTGTTTAAAAAAACACTTCACTAGTTCCTCTGTTGTTACAGTATGCAAATTGACTATTGTTATTGAATATAACTTTTTCCTATATAATCATTAAAAATATATTTTTTTAATGAAAACAAAATTTTTATCAACGATTATGAGGAAATAATAATAATAATAATATTTATAAAGCGCACAAATCCACTGCAGTAGTGCTCAAGGCGCTAAATAGTTCTTCGAAGTATATAAAATAATTAGGAAAAATTTAATTAAAAGTTTAAAATGTATAAATGATACTAACCTTCAAGTAATCTTCCACAGATATCAAGTTGTTGTGACTGAGGTCCAAGGACCTAAGATTTGGAAAACATTCCTAATGGTATGGAAGGAAAGAGGAAATAATTTTAAGAAAATCGGATGATTTAAACTAAACAGGCAATGCAGTATGTTTACGTTCTTTGTATGAAGATCTCAACTAATCTTAAAGCCAGGCTCAGGAGGAAACATTTTTTTGATATATTGTACAACTGATTTTTCTGATACAAAAAGTGTATTTGACGAAAAAAACATGGGAATGCTTAATGAGATACAGACTTTTGAATTTACTGGAAGGAAAGGTTGAAAAAAAAAGGGTTGCTATGCCCCTTATACATGTTCTTACCATTAGTTCACTTAATGTTTCAATTTGGTTAAAGCTTAAATCTAGAGTATGAAGATGTGGCCACAGTTCAGGAATATTGTCTTTACCTCGCTGGTTCCCAAAAACCTCCTGAAATGCAAATTTGATTCATTGATAATAGCAGATATATAAATACTGTATACTAGAAGTGTGAGACAACTGTTTTTGTGGTTTTCATAAAATCGATACATGCTTTTGCAGACACCTTTTGGAAAAACTGGTTGGTTAGTTGGATCAGGGAGCTTCCCAATTCCGTCAGGAAGAGCAACACAGCGCATAGATTGCAGTAGAATCACTGTAGCGATGATGTAGTGATTTTATGGCAAACTAAACTTTCAGTGGTTAGACATAAACTTATCTCTTCCTGTAGAAAGTAGCCATTTCCTACTTTGTGGGTTACTATTTGAAGAAAAACAATCAAGAAGATTATTATACAGGTAAGTGGTTTCTGGGCGGAGTTTATTTTTATATACTGGAATATGCATATGGAATAGTATGCCACTTCAAATAAAGAAATTGAAATTTACTTACAGTTTTAATAAGGAAGTTAAATCATTTTTATTGTTAGTTGAAGAACCTTTATAATATTCAAATCTTTTTATCTTCTTAATCCAAACTTTGGATACTAGGGCTCTCGTGAGAACCAGGCTTCTATAACCCTACAGCTAATGTATGTCCAAGCTAACAAGTTTGCCAATAATAATATGGCTGTGATATCACATCATCATATAAATATATGGGAAAATCATACATATTGGTCACATAAAATCTGCTAGCGTCAACAGATATTAACAGAAGATGTCCACACTATCAAATTTTATGTGACAAATAAATGTGATATGCCCATATTCGGATGTAATAAGACATCATCATGCCCATATATGGACACATCACGCAAATGTGTCATAAATTTTGAGTGTGGACAATTAAGGGCGCTGCACTGTAGCAAACAGCTTGTCACAATTTTTGCTGTGTGATCTTTGGTATTATTTCTAGTCTGTTTGACTATCGTAAGTTGATTTTTCTGTACGCTGTGGAATAAGTATGGTGGCTAGTACATATGTTGTGGACTTTCGTCAAAATTATGTTTTTGATTGGTTGTGTTACCAGATTTACATATGGAAGGGTAGCCCTACTTGAGCTATGCAGAAGCCCGTTGGCAGCGGTAAGACCCGTTTTCCTGTGATTAAAACCAACCGATAGTGTAACACTTTTCTTCCATCTGCCATGAGGCTACATAATGTACTATAAACTTTGTCAGGTGCATGGTTCTGCATACCAAATTTATGGATAAAATGAATGAATAAATGAATAAATGAATGAACAAAGGAATGAATGAGTTAATTTTTTTTAATTTTTTACGACTATGCTCTATGTTTTCTTACTGTTATGTAAATTTTATTCTGTTCAATTTTAACCATCTGTTTTAACCCATTTTATTGTCTGACCTATAGTTTACCCTTTTTCATATTTTTACTGTTATCTGTTACAAGCAAAGCAAATTTCTAGTTTGACCAATACAATTGAATTGAATTGAAAAACTTAAAATATATAATAATACAACAAAAACACTCAGAATTCTACACCCAAAAAATAATTTACATCAAATTATTTGACTAAATATAACCACATTCCATAAAGATGTGCTGCTACTCAAACTACCAAAAACCCTACAAAATTAAAATAAAAACATTATATTGCTAATTTAAAAGAACACAAGTTATCAGCTTTTAATAAGTTACAGATTAAAACAATCAATTTTCAATGATTTACAGATTCTTCTTACAAAAAGAATTCTAAATTTGCTGGCATAAATTTTTAGCAAGACTAGTATGGGAATGATATTATTAATATATCTGTTTAATTGGTTATGATATTTTCTCTCCATTCACATTTTTTGTTGCAAGTTCATGACATATTTATATATAAATGCTCTATGTTTTAAATTATTTTATCATGATCTCATTTTAAGTAAGTTCAATGTAAATAATGTTTGCAGCTGGCTGTCATGTTGGCGCTGTACCAAATGTTGCCCCATTTAAATTTCTAACCACTATGTGTACAGTATTTCCTTAAAAGTTTTTCTTTGAGATTGTTTTATTATTTGTTTTATGCCTTGAGTTCCTTTTACAACTTTTAGTGTTGCATTTTAAAATTTTATATACTTGATTTTTTATCTTGGTATCTGTGTAATTCGGGGACGGCCGCAATCAGAGGTGCGATTTGTTCGGACCCGATTTGTTCACCTGCTGACCTTTTCCCGTCACCGGCAACCTTTTATGTCTTTGATATTAAAAAATAAAACACAAGTGGTAGCACACCTTTAAAATAAGTTGACAACATTGCTGTAACAGTTTTCAAGCACTGATGTGGTCAAGTTAACACCATCTTGTTTGAAGTCAGCAGAGATGAACAAGACTAGGCCTACAGCAGTGGTTAAAAACTTGCTCGGTAGATTTTTAAGTTTTATTGCCCAATTTACGCATACTAGCCTTTTCTTGGGCCAGAGCACAGGGAATGATTTGACTGAGTAGTTTAACTGACTTTTAATATACTCTAAAAAAAAGATAAAGGTTTCCTTTGAATTTAGACATGCAGTGCTGAAAAATTGACTTGTGATTAAGAAAGGAATTTCTCAGGTTTAAGCCCACTTCAAAAATTTCAGCCCAATTATATGTTCAAAGGGGTGGGCTCATACCAAAGGAACTGATATATTAACTTAAAATCCTGGAGATGAATCGTCATCAAACAACATAAAGTCCTGTTTTCTTTCAATTTATTGCATCTCAAAGAAGAACATCACAAAACATCAAACACAAAACGAAACAAAAGCAAAACTCTTGGTCCAAACTAAGGGAAAAGGCTGAAAAATATCAGATAACATTAAAAATACATAAACTCTCATAAGAAATACAATTACGGCCTCACATCTGTCATTTTCCGGAGTCAACTTATATTCTATTGCGTATAATTTTTTGAATACAATAAGTTTTTGGAATAAACAAAATTTGGGAAAAAATATATATAAAAAATCGGCATAACATCATATACATGGCACAGTCAAAGTGTTTTGCAGGGCACACCTTCTACCAAACAGTAGTACAATTATTTGTTATTTATAATTATTCTATTAAATTTTTTTAAAATTTATTTATTTATTTATTTTTTCTTTTCTTACTTTGATCAGTGGCCCTGATACACCAGTCGAAAATCGACCTTTGACCTCAATTTACAATAAGATTCATTTATTTGCAACTTCATATGAAAACGAGAAATAAGCAGGGCAGCTAAGGCTGTGAAGTCTTGTGACTATTTGGCGGAACGGCAATAAAGTATTTCAATTAAAGGGACAGTACCTGTAATGTGTTGATACAGCGAGTGCATGATAACACCTTCAGTTGGTGTCGCAGGCTCTTTAATCCAGACAACAGGTGCACAGGAACCTTTTTGATGTCAAGCTCTGTGAGGGCGTTGAACTTGGAAATGTCCACTGTTCCTTGTAAAGTACTCGTACCATGAACAAGCTGAAATCATAAAAAGAATAATTATTTAAAACTAAGGTAGGATTTTTCAATACCTGTTTTCGCGAATTTACTTTTTAAAGATCGTAAGAGGAGGGCAGAAAAAGAAAGTTGTTTTCTTATTTAGCAAAAACACCCAGATGGAGGAGAAAATAAAAACAAATTTTATTGGTGAATGTAAACAGTTCAGTAATGGGATGGTTGAATACTTTAAATTTTTATAAATAGGAAGAAATATACGTATCTCATTTTTGAAGATTTCAAGGCAGCAACGGGCGTAATGAAATTAAACAAAGACATTTCTTCCTGGCAATGGCTACACTAATTGGCATAAAATAAAATTTTTTATTCAAAATCATCATTATTAGCAGACGACGGGTTCGCTAAACAAGGTATAAAAAGGTCTCAACTAAGCCTACTTTAACGAATGCTGAGAGAAAATAGATGGAAAAATGAAAATAGTGGTGTTTCAAAAGAAATATTGTAGGTTGACTGGAAGATAGATGGTCATGGAGATATATGGGTTGAGAGAAGTAGGTTAAGTTGGAAAAATACTGTGATTGGAAGAAATAATTGTAGTAGTGAATGTGGAAAATATAAATGATCTGGGGAAACAGGTGGTGTGGGAGAAATAGAGTCTTTATAAAAATGATTAGTTTGGTAGAAAAATAGACAAAATATCTCCAAAAAATTAAGTAAAACCATGCATAGCACATGAACAAACACTAATAATGTATGACCTCCAAAAAGACTAATATATAAATATAAAAATATTTATTGATTAATAAAGTTTTACTCCAAAAGTTGATTGGTAATCGAGGGTCTATCCAGAATATAGGTAATAATATAAATCATACACCCTGTTAAATTGACAAGATTTTTAAAATTCTGATGATTATTATTTTTATTAGCTAATAACTTTAATTATATGTAGAAATCTATTCAAATATTTTGAATTTATATTTGTTTATCAGTACTATATATTATAGTTATGCAGGGGTCTAAAGTCAAATTCCCGCAGACCTTGTCATGGACGAATGCACATGTGCACAGAATATTGTTACTGGTTATTGAGGTTGGTTTCATTTGGATCACTGTTTAGTATCTATTGCTGATCAAAATTTTGGATAAACTTTATGTCTGCTTTACTGTTTGCCGTATAAGAATTGGAAAATTTAGCTTTTGTGAGAATGGGATAAAATCCTGGAGAAATTCCTGGGCACCAGGTGATGAACCCAACATACATGGAGACTCCAGGGCAATCCAGGAGGCTTAGAAGCTCTGTATTATAAATTATTGTTAAAAATTGATTCAATGTTTATGCTCTGTCATATTCTACTACAGAAAACCAAGAATTAATGATTCATAAGTGAATAATAATATTAATATTACGCTTGTCACTTCTTTAATTAGTGAGGAAAATACTGTATGCATGTTTCATTTTCACAGAGAACGTGTATTAAACCGTACTACCAGTAACTTGGATGATGGTAAATACGCTAAATATTTGATAAATCTAATGTATGCACAGTCTGTTACAAATCATAGTATTTGTGAGTAGATGTTTTACTCTTTGTTTACACTGGGTGTGCATCAAATTTTGTATTTTCAGGTTTTAAAATCAGTTAAAGTACAGATTTAAAATTTTAATATCATCAAGTAGGCCTATATTTTATAGGCCTATTACTAGTATTATATGGATGACATATTTATTTGTTAAAATGAGACTCACCTAAAACAACAGCTTTTCAAAACATACAGTATGTGGTATACTTGACAAGAACTTACAGTATTATATTATTAAATATATTTATTTACTTTCTACTGGAATTTAATTTCTTAGATAAAACATTTTCTCAGACAATATAATGTTGTATCTACGTTAGAAGTACTATGCTGATGGTTCACATCAAAAATTACAATGCATAAAAATCAATTAATATAAATGTATATTAAATGTTATTTCATCAGTTTATTGTATGTACATGAGTTTTGCTACAACAAGCACAAATAAACAGATTAAGATAATTGGTTGTTATTTTTTATAAAGTAACAATGTGGAAAATATGAAAGTGTCTAGTTGTTTATGGTTAATTTCTGTTGCCTATAAGTCTGACCTTCTGTAAATTTATTTCCTTTGTTTTGCAT